AAGTAGCAAGATGTACCTGTAATCTTGCATATTTATGAGACAGACAAAAGACACCAGCAATCGTACCATCATGTAAAACAATTACAGGCTTTCGTTTTACACTCGCTTGGCAGGACGGTAGTAGGTTGGTAGACAGCAACCACCCAGGGAGGTACTACCGTCCTGCCAAGTGAGTGTAAAACGAAGCCTGTGATTGTTTTACATGATGGTAGGATTGCTGATGTCTTTTGTCTGTCTCATAAATATGCAAGATTACAGGCATGTCTTGCTACTTCTACTTACACTTAGGTCACACTACACATACATGTACACATTTATTTATACACACTCATCTGAGTTTTCTTTGATTTTATCTTAATAGTTCTTGGTCTTATTAATTTTCCTTTTATATCCATGGGGAAGTGGAGTAAGAATCTTTCCTCCGTAAGCCATGCGTGTTGTAAAAGTCAACTAAAATGCCGGGAACAATGGGCTAGTAACTCCTTTTCCTGTAAAGATTACTAAAAAGAATAAGAAGAAGAAAATTGTCAAAGTGGGAAGTATGAATGTGCGTGGATGTTGTGCAGATGATAAGAAAGAGATGATTGTGGATGTTATGAATGAGAAGAAGCTGGATGTCCTGGCTTTAAGTGAAACAAAGCTGAAGGGGGTGGGAGAGTTTCAGTGGAGAGGAATAAATGGGATTAGGTCAGGGGTTTCAAATAGTTAGAGCTAAAGAAGGAGTAGCAATAATGTTGAAGGATAAGCTATGGCAGGAAAAGAGGGGACTATAAATGTATTAATTCAAGGATTATGTGGAGTAAAATAAAGATTGGATGTGAAAAGTGGGTTATAATAAGCGTGTATGCACCTGGAGAAGAGAGAAGTGTAGAGAGAGAGAGATTTTGGGAAATGTTGAGTGAATGCGTGGGGAGTTTTGAATCAAGTGTGAGAGTAATGGTGGTTGGGGATTTCAATGCTCAAGTGGGTAAAAATGTTATGGAAGGAGTAGTAGGTAAATTTGGGGTGCCAGGGGTAAATGTAAATGGGGAGCCTTTAATTGAGTTATGTGTAGAAAGAAATTTGGTAATAAGTGTTACGTTGGTTTGTCCCTTATTACTTTGATAGTAAGGTTCTCACTACATGTTCTAGTGTGGGGTAGCTTTTACTTAATGGTCTTATTTGTCTAGGGGTAATACTTACATCATGGCTGATCATCCTGAGTGTCTCTGATACCCTTTCACCAGCCCTCTTCACAGGTTATGTAAACTACTACTATAAAAATATAACTGTATTCTCAATAGATATGTACAGAATATACAATTACAGCCTCACATTTTCAAAACAATGATCTACACACTGCATAGCTGTTCTCCCACATGGTATATCTCAACAACTTTAGTCCTCTCTCCTTGACATAACTCTGGGCTAACCAGTGTTTTGACACACTTTAGTCACCCTGGGTATGGTGGTCACAACTTAAATTATAAAAAAAAACTCACCCCTGGAGCACACATAATGCCCCAAAAGATAGAAGAAGGACCCAGAGATCCTGCCAGGTTGAAGGCCAGCCACAGAGAGACCGAGTCAGTGCGAGGGAGAGAGAGAAAGAGGCTAAGCTCCTCCCACCAAAACAAAAGACTGTTGCCAAGCACAATTCTCCAGTTACCACAATTCTACCACACCTTAATTTTACTTTTACAAAAGGAAATACAACTTTATAAACTACTTATTTGCCAAGCACAATTCTCCAGTTACCACAATTCTACCACACCTTAATTTTACTTTTACAAAAGGAAATACAACTTTATAAACTACTTATTTAAATTTGTGTGTTTATGTGTCTATAGTATAACCTATTATATTGAGAAAAATAGGCTTGACCCAGCTGCTTCTCAGTCATAAGGTTGATCAGTCCTTCTGACATTTAGAGCAAAGCCCCCATCAATTCAATATAATTAGGTATTCCAGAGTAACTGTTACTTATAAATACATGTTGGGTCCTATAGCCCCATAACACCCCCACCTCCAGACGAAGTCTCACAAAAGCTAGCTGTGTCCCTCAGGATACGGCTAGTAAAAAGTATATTGCTTAAGTCTGAAGGCGGTAAACAAGACTACTAGAAATGCTACATTTTCCCAGCACCATAACTACTCTTCACTTTACTGTTATTTACAAGAGATTGCAGAATTTTTTAGAAAAGCAATTTAACCATACCCATATATCACATGTGTGTAACTATTACAATTTTAGTGGATTTTTAAACAATACACATTACAATGCAAAATTTTTTCACACAAAGCCCACTTGTGAAAAACACCGCACCAACAGGCTGTGCCTCTGCTATGGTAATCCAGCAAGCAACTGGTACTCACAGGGTGGCATCTTCCGATCAGGAGACGAGAGTAGAGCCAAACCCAGAGCAGTTCAGGTGTAACCCCAGGCAGGGAAACTTACAAAACATGTCAAAGGTGTCTCTCACTTGGTGGCAGAACCAAACAGGTGAGACTTCCAGTCAACACTCACGATACTTAACATGGTCAGGCCTTAAGCCCATCTTCCGAGGTCCACTCCACACAGACCTCCAATACTTATTATGAGGAGGCTGTCATAGAAATGGAGGGGTTCCAAGGGACCACAAAAGGCAATGTCGGGCCGTTTTGTACATTGAGCACACCCAAGACCACTCACATCTCATACCTTCCGAACGTCTCATGTTACGAAGGTTGTCAACCACTGCCTCACTCACATTCACGTACCACCCTGACCCTCGGTCTCACTTTTGGACTCCGACTCAACTCCTTTACAGTCAGACGGCTGGTAGAGGAGTATCTGGCTCGCGAGAGTTCACCACTGCAAAAAACAACAAGGTCAGCAACATGACAAACACTATGTACAAAGTATGCACCATGGCATCTACATGAAACATTAGAGAGAGCATCAGCAACCATTTCTCTGAGCCTTATATTATATTTAACTTTCAAATTAAAAGGTGTAGGAACAAAGCCATTTAAGAGGTCTGATTTTATTCACTATACACAGAGAACAGGATGAAGAGATCCTGAGACATGTACAAATTGCTGAATAGCCAGCCCAAAATGAAAATTTTCTTTCCTGTGGTAAAATGTTGACATTTAAACTTAGAAGGTTGTTCATAGACAATAAAACAGGTTCTGCAACTCTCGCAGTGCAAAAAAACACCAAAGACCTTTTCTTTGCACCCAGGTTGGATACATCAAGTTTTACACAAACACCATCACGTTCCATCTCACGCACATATTTTAAGCACACAATGAACACAATTTGCATTACACACATTAAAATGTACTGGAACACAGACATGGAAAAATACATCTTCCATGTTTTAGCTTATTTAAAATGTTTGCATCATTTTAGTCTTAGTCGCATAAAGTATCAATCTTTCTAACCCTGTAAAACCTTAGGTGTTAAAACGACTCTGTTGGTAGTCGGTTTATGCCCAGGGTGCCATCTGATTGGGAACATGAAGCATGGGGAATGCCCACTGACTCTCATAAGCATTACAAACTGGTGTTGGAAGAATTTCCACTTCTTCCTCCATCTCCAATTTTTCATACAGATTTTTCCCTCACAAAAATTGTTGAATTGACCTCAGCTTCCTTAACAAATTACTT